CGTAGATACTGCATTCAAAAGCAAGTGTTGCTGATTCCCCATGGTTGTTACTGTCATGCTCGTCCTTTGTCTTAGGTCCTCGCGGTCTGTAGCATTTGAGAAACGCATCTAATTAGCTTTAAACGAACGCCAAGTTAACGCCGAAACCTGGTGTTACTGACAATTAACCTAGTCTCGACCGACAAACCGAGGTGTCGGTTTTTTAGGTTCCGTCGCCGTAGCGTGCAGTATTCGACAATTCGACCATCACATCCGACGATGTCCACTACGTGCTTCGGCAGGTTGAAAGCAAAAGCGGTTACTCGCGCGACAACTAGTTTTTAGTGATAGTATTTTTTCGCTGTGCCTACCACACTCTATTCTCTCACCTACCGGTGTCAGTAAAGGCTGGAGGCGGGATCGGCCGCATGTGACAAACAGTACTCTAGCTTGTCCTGCCCTGATCGAACAGGGATCAGGCGCAGGTGGCTAGTGCGGCGTGAGCATGCACCTACGCATGTTAACACCCCATTTGTGGCATTTGTTGTGGGAGCGCAACCCCAATAACGCCTGCCGAGCTCTCCTGTTTGTCCAGCGCATATACTACGTGGCCCTTTTAGGGGGCACAGGAAAGACATTACTTAGTAATAGCGATTAGGTTGAGCCCTTTTGGCTATTTTTCCTTTATGCACACCTTTGTTTGCACATTCACGCTCCCTAAAACCTCGCCTTTTTTTCCCTCTAGGATTCAGAAGGAGCTTGCAGACATAACTGCAGATCCCCCGCCCAACTGCAGGTAAGTGGATAAGCCCGGCCTACTCCTCACGTTTCAGTGCTTTTCCTCGCGGTGAGAACCTCTACGAATGGGTCTCTACTATTCTGGGTCCTCCCGGTTCTGTCTACGAGAGTGGCATTTTCTTACTTGACATCCACTTCCCCCTGGATTACCCATTCAAACCACCGAAGGTACCACCACCCCGCTTCTAACTATTCAAATTGCAATTTTAGGTCACTTTCAAGACTCGAATTTATCATTGCAATATCAACAGTCATGGAGTGATATGTCTGGATATTTTGAAAGTACGTATACCCTTCTTTTTGCCTATTGCACGATGAACTGATAACTGGTTTTGAGAAGGGTACAACAGTATTTCCCTTCGGACGAGCTGCGCCCACTCGGTAGTCTTTTCTTGAGAGAAAAGGTACTCATTTATTACTGGCAGACGTAGTTGATTAGATCACCTACTGCATCTACCTGCTCAATCTCAACACCTCCAGTTTATTATGCGCTCAGTGCTATTGGTGTTCGCGAACCTGTAGTTATAACTTGACGTGGGTTTAACGATCAAGAGTTATCGTTGACAATAGCAGTGAATATTCGAGTCCCAGGAAGCAGTTCAGAAGACGAAGATGCGATCACTGGAGAAGGACTTTATTTTCCTGACGTTTCGGATTCCGTCGGGAATCCTTAGTCATAAGCGAGTTTTATTTGCCTGACGTTTCGGATTCCCTCGGGAATCCTTAATCATAGGAGATGATAACATAGGCATGGTCGTTGAGTTTCCTGGTTCACCATATTTGCTTGTACATGTTTCAGCTAGCATCACTGGTGAGCTAGTGGGTTCCAAGATCCATGGCCTAATGCGTGTATAGTCACGGTACTTCCTGGAGATACGGTCCGGCCTATGGGGTGAGGCCCTAATCTGTGGAGCTTAAGTGCGGGTAAAAGCCGTATCGGGTGGCGGGCAACATTCCTTGTGTCCGGATGTCGAAATGTGTTGCCGCAGTAGGCTTCGCGACTGACGGCCGTTTCACTGGCTGCCACCCATGAACGCGCTGGGCAGCTCGCAGTCCAGACCAAAGAATATAACTCGTTTTTTCTGGAGTACTTTTTATTCTCTTCTTACCCAATTTTTGACCTATGCCCGGCTGCTCATTGTTCCACAGGTTGAAAAATAATTAATGATTCGGACTTATATGACTGAAGATTTTGTACTTGGACTACTTAACCGAGGTTTCAATTTTTAAGCGACTTATTACGTCTTTTTCCACGAGGGTTTTTATTTCACTAAAACCGCCGCTTTTGGAAGGCAGCATCTACACCCGGCTTAAAAAAGTCCAGTTGACGTGATAGTTCGTCGGTTTACTGACTAGGACAGAAGTTAAATGTCTGAAATGTCGTCTATGAAACTTCCTGAGGAGACAGTCCTGAGCTTTACGCTCAATCTTCCTAAATTACGGTGGTTGCTCGTCAGAAACTATTCCAACTGTTACCGGTCGCTCCTTGGTGTCTCGGTTATTACCGGAAACCTATTCATTTCCTATGTCTTATTATCTTCTTGGTGGTGATACAAGTCCCTCCTTTCCTCCCTTTAGAACAACTGGTCACCTGCGCTGACAATTAGCAAAGTCCTCCTGTCCATCTGTTCTCTACTGACGGACTGTAATCCAGCGGATCCGTTGGTTGGCTCGATAGCCAACCAATACCTTCACAACCGC